TAGTGTACACTTACTTCTTACGTTAGTAGTACGTAACTTACTATTAATTACTTACTATATATATATATATATATATATATATATATATATATATATATATGTTCTTTTCCAAGATTTTCACAGGGTTTATTGAAATTTTGAAACTTCCTAACAAATTATCTCACAACAAAAATCCCAAGAAGACAAGATTCAGGGGTGTGGGTGTTTATGGGGGGAGGGGGGGGCGGGGGTGAGGAGAGAGAGAGATTACCATAGACATGAGCCTGCGGCTGCGCATTCCAAGCAGGATTGGTGTGATTCATAACTGCACCTTGCGCATAACCGACCTGCTCATACTGGGGTACCATGGTTACCTGACCACTTCCATTTGGATAAAGTAGTGGTTGGGGCTGGGCTTGTTGAGTTATTGGACCACTTCCATTGGGATAAAGTAGCGGTTGAGGCTGGGCTTGTTGGCTTATGGGGCCATTTCCATTTGGGTAAAGTAGCGGTTGAGGTTCGGGCTGGGATTGTTGTTGAAACTGAGGGGTCGAAGGAAAAGCTTCTTGCGGTGCTTGAAAAACAGACTGGTCATTGAAAGCATTAGGAATAGAGGGCATTGAGTTCTGGGAATACGGATCTGAAAGAGCTAGAACAAGTTGCTGCTGAGAAGAGGAAGCAACAGGTGTTGAGGGGCCTGTAAAGGTTTCATTAATTGGAACCAGTGCTGATGATGGCAGAGGATTTTGGGTGGTGGTGGGGGAATTGTAGTTTTCACCACTTAGAAGGTCCATGTTCAGATCAACTCTTGCAGGAGGGGCGGTAGCCTGTGGTGCTGATGGAGGGGGAAGTAGTAATTGCTGAAGGGGCAGCTGACTCCCTGCATTCATACTTGAAGAGGACCTGCATGAGAGCAGATAAGAATATCAGTTTCTGTCTCTCTCTCTCTCTCTCTCTCTCTCTCTCTCTCTCACACACACACACACACTTCGTAACTCAAGTTCCCCATAGTTTTACAGAATGGCAAGGATACTATACAAGCAAGGACCACATATAAATTTTGTTAGAAAACATAACTTTGGTGGTGGAAACGTTACGATGGCTTGAAAATCCATGTCCAACCCTGATTATGAAATTTCAAATTCTTAATATGGTGAAGATCAATGCTCGAAAAGTCAACATGGGCCGACTACTCGGCCCATGTCCCAACTGAGTACTGTAGCAGTTAAAAACTATTATAAATAAATAAAAAATACAAAAATCCCAAAAAAATAGGAAAGATATATTCAAAATAAAATTTAACAAAACACAACTAATTGTGATTAAAAAAGTAGCGAAAAATAGATTTAAAAAAATGAGTTTGTGACTGGGGATATTTTCAAAATTTTCCAAAAAAGATGGGAAAATACTTTCCAATCTTTGCCAAAATGATAGAAAACACAAATAAACATGTTACAAAAATATCTCTTATCTTTTTGGATTCTTTTATAAATTTTTTAACTTTTTTTTTTAAGATCCCTGAGTTGGAACTCCAACTTGGGACAACTTGGGCTTGGCAAGAGCCCCAGCGCGAGTAACTCAGCCGAGTCGAGACAACTTGGCCAACTTTTCGAACACTGGTGCAGATCGAGCAGATCCATAAACACTTGAAAATCTTGAAAATAGAGTCCAGATAATTTATTGTAAGATGCACTATATCCATACATTTCAAAGCCAAGACGATCACTTGGAAGGTTTTCCAACTTTGCCATACTCTTTTCTACATGATTTTTGAGGTCCGCCTTACTTCAATAATTCATGGTTGCTAACTTCAATAAACTTTTTCCTTTTACATAAAGGCAAAAGTACGCACCATTGGGATCATATCCTATTGCTCATGGGTCCCACTCTCTCTCCATCATCATTCAAATCTCAAAGGATGGTGATGGCCCAAAGGACTATGGTTTTCCATAGTCCATTGGGTAATAATATAGTTTCTATCAGGTTAACTCGGGAGTTGCTTGAGGAAACATGAATTACCTACGCCCATCCTGGACTCCATTTGAAGTAGAAGGATCATCAACATCTAGGAGTGCCTTAGGAGCAGAAGCAGGAGCAGGAGACTTTGGTTTCTCTTGACGAGGAGCAGTTCCTGAAGCGATGGCATCATGCTTATTCAGTAGGCGCTGCAAGTCATCATTCAATGCCAGACCTTGACATAGCAGCTCCTCATCTCTATGAAACATTTAAAAAAGGCATTAAATTCCCACACTGCGAACTTAAATAAAGGAACAGTAACAAGTTAAAAAATAGAAACAGAAAAAACATGGTTTTCTTTCAGAAAAGTATACTAAACTTCAATGGAGTATAGTATACCAAAATCTCACTGTCTCATATTGATGAAGAAATGCGATATAAACTGTTATAAGGTGAACATCTCTTAATAAGCCCCAACGGAGTTAAATTTCCAAAGTATCTATCATCAGGAGCAGACATTGTGTGCCTCTTTACTATACAATATCTACACTGCATTGAATCATAATATACTTTCCCTTTTTCAGTAAGTATTCGACAATATGATTTTGAGGTTCTACAGCAATAACTGTGGCAATGTGTAATCGTGCTTAATGGAAGTTGAAGTGCTTTTCTAACAATTCTAATGGCTTATAAAAAGTATCATCCCCAACAAAAGTCAAAAGTTCTACTCATAATTGTACCTGACTTGCAAATCCACTACTAACTAGATTTCGTAAAATATTGTCTTAATATTACAATGGACTAGCGAAATTAACATTCCTGAAGAATTTGAATAACTTTCTAATAAGTGCAATAGACTTGAAAATTAATCACTCTCAACAGAAGTGGAAAGTTTTCCTAAAAATAAAAATGAAGCCGGGAAATGAAGTGGTAAAAGTCTTACGAAGTGGTGTTCACAAGCTGTAGCACCCTTAGCTTGTAAGAACGACATTGTTCGACAAGGTCTACAATCACCTCCTGTTTCAGCCCCTGAAAGTAAGAAATTTGACAATCAAACACTCACAAGATACAACTGGTATGGACTCAATGAACCAATCGAAACAAAATATTTACAAAATGTGAACAGCCAGAGGCACATGTAAATATCCTTAAACTCATGTTTCAGAAAGTATATTATCAAATGGACTATAGTTTTCCATGATCCATCGAGTTCATCACCATCCGGTGAATTGATCAATGCAACCCACCATTCGGTCCATATTATGTTATGGTGGATCACACTCTTTTCAGTATCCATTTCATTGGACAATAATAACCCCAATGGTTTATTTGCATCTTTTCGATAATTAATCAGCCTACATGGTACTTCCCCTGCATGATTTCCGAAGGTAGTTTGTAATTTTATCTTCTCTGCCCGTTAGTTTGCAATATCATCTTCTCTGCATATTTAGAGTTTTAAAGGGAGTTGCCCTAAAGTAGTCTCTTATTATCATAAAAAGGAAGTTTACCTCCTTGTTGCCTGGATCTAAAGCATTTAGCATCTCAGCGAGGACATCCATTATATCACGGGCATTTTGAATCTCCGTCAAACTGAAAAAATGTATATTACTTCAGCAAACTGGATAGGCACAAGTAAATGCAGTGTTTCTACAGCTAGAAGAATCCAAGCTTTCACATAAACAGGAAAATAGTATTTCATATAGCATGTATAAACTATTTGAGCTCATGAATAAACCGTTATGTTCTTTATGAAATGCTAAAAAGCATTTAGTTGAAGTATGGTAAGGCACGCAGATCACCAGCCACACCTTTTCGTTGATGTATCTAAGCACCAAAATTAACTAGAGGCACATAAGCAAATACAACTAGCATTATTCCAGGATGATGATTGAAGTCCAAAAAAATTCTCCAAAATAAAACAAAGTCAAGAGTTATCCCCACTGAAACGGAAAGTTAGAAACAGGAAGAAAGGCAATCATATACAATCAAGTAATATACTACATTTCTTGCAGCCTACAAAAAGGATTTTTTTTGGAATGCACTCCAGATTCAACCATGTACCGAAGAAAATATATGTGACATCATCACACCTCAAAGTTGGAAGATCTGAAGCCACAGACGGTTCAGGTACATCCCGTCTGTAATCTGGACTGCTTGATTGAGGGTAGTTTGTGAGAGGTTGTGTCTGAGGCGGCGTAAATATTGGGGCAGTGCGCTCAGTTCGTTGAGGAAACGCTGCTCCAGCACGCTGTTGAAAGAAAAAAAAATTACACCATAGAATTTCAATAAAAAAGAAATACAACATCAGAGTTCAATTTTAAGAAACTGCATTGGAATTACCCCAAAGGTAGGTAAAGAATGCCTTAACAAAAAATAATTTACATCATAAGAATTTAAAATAAAAAAAGTGCACTATAAGAACTTCAATAAGAAATCACACTGGAATAATTCATAACAACAAAGATATGTGACTAATCAACATGCATAAACAGATACAGCAAAAAAACAGATTAGAAGTAGATCTTTTCACATTTATGAAGCCCATATGAACGGAATCAGTCTCAACTTACAAATATGTTTAGACAGCATGTGGAACGATTTATGAGCGTTCATCAAGTGTTTGAGAATATCTTCACACAATAAAAATTCTCGAGCCATAAATCATTTACCATTTCTTTGTTAAGAACATATTATGCCAGGAAATAAATAAAAACAGAACATTGGTCATGATATGGGGAAATGCTCCAGCCAACCACTTTCTCGTTTTTCAAGGGTAAATTAATCTGGACATCTCAAACCAATATAATTAAATAAATAGACATGCAGGCATGTGTGTAAGCTCACACACATACACAGGATAAAGATTCTACGAGCTAACAGGCCTATGAAACAGTATAGAATGGACGGCCCATATTGAACGACAGTAGGCGATATGGACAGCCTATGTTCACTGAAAATGGAGGACAAGTTTTGGCCTAAATTTTTGGCGTATCCATATTTATATTTTTATTTGTAAGGCTTAGATGAGGCCTACATGTTTACAAAGTTTTGGGTCCATCGGGCTCCTACTTTTTTTTTTTTCTTTTTTTTTGAGTAAATATCGGGCTCCTACTATTTTCATAAAAAAATTGACACACAACACTGCCATCTCACTTTGGTGAGCTTATATCAAGGTCACTAAGACTAGGCCAGACTAAGAACTGCCAAACTTGTGCCCCCTTTGATTTGTCCAAGCCCCATGAACCGGTATGTCCATTGAATCAACATCAAACCAGAGATTATCCAGTTTGATGCCTAGACAGGCTGATTCAACTGCTCCAAATCGAATCGGCTGCTCCTGATGCGAACAACAAAATCTGCAAAATTTCCTCGTGTCTCCACAATCTAGACCATTTTTGTCCCTTACAAATTGATGAGGGGCAGGCATTACAGTAAATACCGCCATTTGCGTGAGTTTGGGGTTTAAAACAACTTTTTGGAGATATATATATATATAGAGAGAGAGAGAGAGAGAAAGCAATTATGGCGATTTTTGCTCTTTCTCACTCTTTATAACTGAAAAACCCTAATTTTGAGTGATCTTCCAGTGACTTTCTGAGATTAATCCAGGCACTAAATCCAAAGTTTCCAACCTCGAAGTAAGTCCATATGATTTATTCTTTGATTTCTTTCTTTTAGATTTTAAAAAAATTATCAAATTAAAAAAGCTCTTTTTTTTTTTTTTTTAAAACCATTGCAATCGGTTGTTTCTTGCATTCATTCTAGGGTTTTTCTAGATTTAATTGTTAAATGATATATGTATTTTCTTTTTTGAAAATTTTGCGCATTTTTTATATGTACATGTTTGTTTCAATTACCTGCTTATTTTATTTTTTGGTTCTTTAATACTTCAACAGAAATATGGAGAGCGTTCATATATGGAGATTGTTCCCTAGTTAAAACTTTGTGCAACTTCTTTATAAGAATATTTGATTTTTTATCTATTTTTTGGTTATTTAATTATCTATGCATATAATGAACATAGTGAACAGTGGAACTTGTTTTTTTTTTTTTTTTTTTTTTAAGAAAAGCACCTTGGAACTATTCGTATTTAAGAGTTCGTTTTTTTTTCTTTTTGTATTTTCAGCTTTGTTTATATTGATATTGATATATTGATATATTGATATTGATATGAAATAAGATTTTTTTCCTTTTGTTCAATTATTCAAAACTTCAAATACTTCATAGATCATATTAATTCTCCATTCAATATTTTTAAAGAAAAGCATGGGTTTTTTTTAATGATATATTTCCCATTCTGTACTTGTGTAGGGTTTTGTAAAATATAGGGTTCTCTTTTTAGACTTAGAGTCAAATTGAAAGTTTGCCCTATGCAATTTCCAATGGGTTTGTGTTTGTGTGCCTTCTTTTGATGTAGGGCTATGACCATGTGATTCTTGTGAAGCGTGTCAGTGGTAGTTTGGGTCTTTAGGATTAAGATTGGTGGTTTGTGCAGATTAGTGGTTTGAGTATGGAACTTAGGTGGTTGAATTAGGAACCCCAAAGGTCTTCAATTGAGTCAAAATAAAGCAAGACAAGACCTGGCATGGGGGCATGTCAATAAGGTACAGAGTGGACACAAGTTTGAAAATTACGAAGTTACTATAGGTAAAAAAATAAAGGGAAGGGGCAACACAGGATTAAGGAGCATTTGGGTTACAAGCAACTACGAGATGCAAAAAAACATAGAAAGTTATGAGACAGAGAAGCAAAGAAGACAAGTAATTATCGATGAACTAGGTAATCCTTAGCCTAGCCCAATGGAGACTATAGACATGGAGGAAGGAGAGGAGCCCCAGTCTAGGAGATTGACAGTAGGGAAAGAGCCTGCTAGTAGTGCAACTAACAAGCCTAGGACTAGGAGGCAAAGTGGGATAGGAGATTATTTCCCACATAGGACAACACTAGGTACCCAGTCAACCATCAAAAGTGTGTTGGCTTGGAAGAAGGCAACAGAAAGGGCACTCATGTGAGCAGGCCTGTGCATATATGACCCTATTGTCCCTTTAATGCCCTAAGCTTCTATTTTCAGCCAATGTTGGACGCAATGACATCCACAGGCGCAGGGTATAACGGCCCTTGCTACCACGATGCCACAAGTTGGTTATTAAATAAGAATGTGGAAGAGGTTAAGGAATACACAGATGCATATATGAAGAAATGGGCTAGCCACAGATGCTTCATCAAGGCTGATGGATGGATGGATATATGGGAGAGAAACGTAGTTGATTAATTTGTTAGGAAATTGTAGCAAAGGGACAATTTTCTTGAGGTCAGTGGATGCCTCCAATATTACTAAGACTGGAAAGAAATTATTTGGTTTGTTTAAGGAAATTGTTCAAGAAAGGAATCGGGCTTGGGTTAAGACGGTAGCAGCTGGGTTTTCATAGCACTGCGTCTCAAGATTCATTCCTACATAACTTTGTACAAAAAAAAAAGGGAATTGTTCAAGTGGGGCCATATCATGTGGTCTAATTTATTATTGACAATGCAGCCAATTACTCTATTGGGAACAATAGCAGCAAAGGCATGATACCACAATATTTTGGACTTCTTGTGCGGTATAATATATTGATTTGATGAGGACTTGAGGATATAAAGCAGATGTCACATGTCAAATCGGTTGTAGAAAGGCAAATGATATCAAAAATTTATCTACAACCATTCGTATGTACTCAATTGTATGAGGAAAACATTCATATGGGAGGGAGTTAGTAAGGCCAGCAATAACAAGAATGACCACTAATTTCCATAAATTATAGAGAATTTTGCAGACTAAGGATGCCTTGAGATCCATGGTTATATCAGGCGCACAGCAGGATTCTTCACGGGCTGAAGATTCGTGGGAGAAACATGGTTTTTTACCTCGATTGCCAATATAATTTGAGTTACAAAGCCCTTAGTGAAGGTATTGAGGATCGTTGATAGCAATTCTAGGCATGTCCTGGGGTATATCAATGAGGTAATGGATAGGGCCAAGGAGGTGATAGTTACAACTTTAAAGCCCAATAAGTCCCAATATAAGCAGTACTTGAAAAAAATATATAGAGATGAGGCAGCCGCATAGCCCATTTATTTGCTCAAACTAAATTTCTTCTTCAATAGAGCCTCAAATCATCTTTAGGTTTCGAAGGGTATACCATGATAGAAATGTTATACCTTGACAGAAATATGCAAGTCAAGATTGGGAAGGAGATGATCTCATATGAGAAGGGCCAATGAGATTCTGAGCGACTGAAGGCAGTTAACATGCATGAAGAAATCTTTCCAATTAATTCAATTTATTAATTTATTCTTTTCCCTCTTAAAGTGCAATACAATTTAAAACTATAATGTCCCACTCTAATGTTGTTTTTTCAGATCATCTCTTGTATTCAATTACCAGTTTCAACTGAATGATGATGGCAAATGGGTGGGGATTCTCCTAACCTTCAAAGACTCACTATTTGTATCTTCACCCAAACTAGCAATGCAAGTGGATGCGAGAGGAACTCGAGCATTTTCCAATGCATCCACAAGGAAAAGCAAAATAGGTTGGAACACACTTGAAGGCATTGAACTTGAAGAGCAATTGTATAACTGAATGGCAATGGAACCGCCAAAAGCTTTAAGTTTTATACTTACTTTCTTTTTGACATTTTCTTTTTTTAATGGAACATGATCACTCTTACAAGTTTTATACTTTATGTTTCAAGGTTTATGCACGTTATTTGGTTTCGAAAGTCTACATTAATAAGTAGAACTCCTAGGCTCCCATGGCATATGATTCATTAGTGACTAATAAGATTGTATTTTATAATTCTATAACTTAGTAATATTAATATATGATCTTTCTTTCTCGTAGGTGGTGGGGAGGTCAATAGAAAGGAATGCAATGATGATGAGGAAAGAGGAGATGAAAATGAGGAAAGAGGAGATGAAAATGAAGATGAAGGATGATGAAGATGGCCAATGACATATGAGACTTGGATTTATTTCGTTTATCATTTCTGTATTGTATATCATATATAATCAGTTACATTATGTAAAAAACGAGCAATCTACCTGCTGGATTCTTGGGTATGGACAAATGGAGCTGTGTTGTGGTCTTGTGGACTGCTTTCTGATACCTTCCTTTCTTTTTATGAACTGGTCTTTTTTTACTTTCATGATCATAAATTCATGGTTCATGACTTGATAACTTTTGGCCTTCAAATTCATTGTTATTGCCTAATGAGAAGTGTAATTTTTTACTTTTCTGATGTTTCTATTTTTAAGTTTTTTCCTTATTTTTCATATTTTTATTTCTTATTTTTATTTTTTGGCCAGGCTAACCTGTGAAACAGCCCAGTCTGACCAGCCCAATTGGACTGGTACCCCACTGTTTCGACCCCCAATACAATCTTAATAACATCGATATACACATACATACATATATAGAGGGTGCGATTTGTATAAGGTACCAACCTCAAACAATCAAAATCAGGCGTCCCTTCAAATCGTGCCAAAAGATATAGTTCTGGTGCTTGAAACTCTCAACAGGCATTTCTATGAAAACTTGGAAATCTTGAAAATGGAGGGTCAAGATTGATCACCTTTTTTTTTCACATCCATACATCACGAGGTCAAGATGACTAATTTTTTAGGTTTGAGGATCTTTTAGCGCCAGAACAACATTTTCCAGTGGGTTTTTTAGGTGCGCAATATTTTAATGGTATAAGATTGACACCTTATATAAATTTTTTCCATTTTCGCAAAATATAGACTCGGATATCAAATTTTTAATAAGAAATGACTTCTATATAAATGATGAGTGTTACTGAGATGAAGATGTTGAGATGGATGAGTAAGAAAGGACATAATTCAAAATGAAAGCAAGGGAACTTAGGAGTGACTCCAATAGGCGATAAAATGATGGAAATTAAACTTAGGCGGGCCATGTGCAACGTAGACCTAATACAACACTGGTTAGGAGGGGGCATTTGGTTCAAGTGTAAGGGAGGCCCCAAAAGGACATAGATGAAAGCAGTGAGAAAATATATGGTGACTTATAATCTGACTGAGGGTATGGACCTTGATATAGCAAAACGGCGGAACAAGATTCGCGTAGCCGACCCCAAATAGTTGGGATAAGGCTCTGATGATGATGATGATGATGATAATGATGGCGATCATAAACAATTCCATACAAATGAACATCAATAAAGTACATTCTTTAGTGATGAGTCTATTAGACACGAATTAGCATACTACCAATAGCTTTCCCTGCATATTGCTCTGTTTTTATAGGATGCTCATACTACATAATGCTGTTCGTGTCACATAAAATGCTTCGCTTAATACAAATAACCCATTTAATAGTGGAATCAATGCGAGTGTGAAATAACCACAAATCTCACAATGGTGAATTTGTCCCATAATGCAAACAAAAAGAGGGTAGTCGCAATCCCATTCCCCAGGTGAGTACCTTGTTGATGAAACTTTTTATAACAAAATGCTTTTAAGGTAGAAGACATATCGAGCTTACCAATAATTCCTGGTATGCAGCATAGTATTGTGGATATCTAGCCCTTGGCCCGCCAAAAGCTTCTTGCCATGTGTCTATAAGGGTCAATATCTTTTCCTTGACATGCATATCAGGCTGCAAAGAAATAGAGAAATTAAAGAAAACATTGTATGAAGAAAGAGGAGTGTGAAGAAGATGTTAGAGCCAAAATAAAATCAGCATTAATAGCCTGGCAAGCAATTTTGTGACCTTTTTCTTGACTATCTTCACCATCTCATGGAGTAGGTCTTTCTCTGCAACTTGCATATGAACAATGTCTCCACAATTCTTTATCAATGTCTCCAACAACTGAAATGCATTAAAGAGGTCACTGCTTATAAGCACATTTCAGGGGAGATGAAATGAACTGATTACCATCATGATATCACATCAGACATAAACATAGATAACACAACAAAACACTCCAATTATTATTTTGTAGTTAAAATTTTATGACTAGCAAATATCATTTTGGTAGAGCTAGCCTAAATCGATGAATAACATATATGATTTCAATTAATTAAAGGTACCTAAAGGAGTTGAGGCAACCGCTATGCTCGTGCTTTAAGTTGTTTTGAATTCTAAGAGTGAATTTCAGTGATCCATCAAAACAATCAATTCCAATTGCTGGAATTGAAGTTTTTTTTTTCATAATATTAACTCAATTTTTATTTATGAATATTAGATGGAATTATAATTAGGCTGCATTTCCCTAAATAATCAGGGAAGAAAACCAGCAGTGATTCCTAACTGCTGCTTGAAATGCTAGATTTCATAATAAAAACTTGAACCTCATAAATATTATAAGCTCCAAAGGAACTCTAGTAGACAAATTTTGGCATAAAAGAGCATTAGAGGAGATCTACCTGTAGTGTACAAAAGCAAAGAAAGCCATGAAAGCACCATATAAAAAGTCAAGCAACATACCGTGAGAGCAAGCAGTTGAACCTTTGGATTTTTACTTCCCATGCGCTTTTTGATTCCTCTGACAACATCTTTCGCTTGCCTGTTGAGCAAAACACAAAAATATTAGGGAAACACAGGCACCAAATGCCCCATTAAGCAGCATAAGCACCTTTATAGCCCCACAAGGGTAGATAGAAAACAGAGTTCACAATGCATCACAATCGAAAGTATTCTTGCTGATTGGAACTGAAGAGAGATGCCACCCATGTTAGAACAACAATAGGATCTTCCATTTGCCTTCCATAGGATACTGATAAATGTCAAGTATTTATTCACATCAGCTAGACAAAGACCTTTTGGGTAAACCTGCCCTGTGAATTTAACCACATTTACGGTATTTTTCACATATGAGACAATCAACTCGATGAAACATATACAGTTTTTCAAAAGTAACCCAAATTACAAACCAAAGTAATAGTAATGAACTCCCTTTGAAAAAATACTGCAGAATTTACACCAATATACAACCAACAAGGTAGTAAGGCTGTATAACTACAAAGTACTAACTACTGAGTAGAAATTCAGATTAATGCCTTCTAATACCCAATTACTCAAAATTGGAATCTGTTTGTCCACGGAGTTCTGAGATGAGCATCAATTGCAAGCAAAAAGCAAGACAAGTCAGGACCTTTTTGCCAGTGAGTGAGTTCCCAGCTTTGAGTCTCATTACCATTGCACGCAAAGGTGAATCAAGCTCCAAGCTTCGAGTCTTTCAACCCACCACACCCATATATGAATTCCTGGGCTATTTCCAAACTTAGACCAGCAAAAATTTTAATTACACGATACCTGATAACACAAGATTTAATCATTTCACACACGCATACAGCAATAGGCTGATTCTTATCATTTCTAGGAGACTTCGCTGGCAATCTAACCCCGTATATCACAACTCTGGAAGAACCAGATTTCACAGTATTCAAACAAACACGAATACACCAGAATCCCCAAAAGGGTGCTTTTTCTTTCTTTTCCCAGGAAAAATATGGATTAGGCAAAGTATTATAATTCCTACTGGCACAAAGACAAGAAAAAAAAAAGATATATATATATATATGTCAAGAAACTCTCTGAAGATAGTCTAGTCATGTGGATGTTTACAAAAATTTACTTAGATCTTAAGTGAGTTAAGCAATCAAACAATGATTACTTTTCCTCCTTTTTTTTTTTCTCTTCTAGTCTTTCTAATTCTAAACTCCATCAAATTTCGTGCTTTATAAACCTTTTTTTTTGTACTTAGTTTTTTTTTTTTTTTTTTTTCTAATTATTTGGCATGCACATCGGTGGGAAACCATCAATAAGTATGGTTCAGTTTAATAGGGGATAGTACTCTGAACTCGTAATCCCGAAATAACAAAGGGAAAAAAAACAAAAAAACCTAGAGTTTAAATACTCCTCTAAAATACATCATTCATCATAACTCCGGAAAAATAAACCATCAATATCAAAAATAGATCTTTTAGAACTTTCCACATAGAGACTAGATCATCTAATTCATAAACTTAGAAAAAAGGAAACAAACAAACAAGTAAATAGCAATACCAACAAAATACCATTTAATTCTAAACCCAATAAAAACGATTACAGATAAAACCAAACACACGAGAAATTAAACAAAAGGGTTGAAATTAAGGACCAAAAAATCACAAAAATAAAAAAAAAGCAAACCGAATATGGAAATCGACATACCCAGGATCATGATTGAGAATATCACAGATCTCTATGTTCATGGCCCAATCCGGCCCTATCAGCATATCACTGGTCGCCCTCTCGACAAGAGAATTCACCATCTTTAACCGATCCTTCTAAGCCCTAATTCTCCACAAAAAGATCACCAAGAAACTGTAGAACCACAAAATCTCAGGCAAAAAAGCACTGGTACCCACAATCGCCCTAAAAACCCCTCGTAACCAGCGATCAGTCAAATTCCCCAAAGAACAGCTCGATGATCCCCGGAAAGATCCCGGAAAACCTTTCCGGTGCCGGAAATTCGCCTGAATAATCAGAATCCAAACCCTAAAGCCAGAAATTTCATTACGTTAAAAAGGTTAGACTCTGGAGAGAGAGACGATGGCTTCGACGAGCAGAAAGAGATGAGGATAGAGAGAGATGGAGAGAGAATTTCATACTGGCCCGAGGCTTCGTTGGACCAATGAGCACAAGACGCGTGTCCGATTCTCTTCAATGACGAGTCTTTCTTCGACTCGGCCTCGCATCTTCCTAGTTGCAGGTGGGTTCTACTTTGATTGTTTAGAGCCTCGGCTCTATACAAACCGCACCCATTTTTTTCTTTTTCTTTTTCTTTCTTTTTTTCTAAAAAAAAAAAAGCCCATGGTTTCTTAAAAATTAGGAAAAAGGTTATGAGCGGTTGATTCCTGTGTATCAGGGGGATACAGTATTCTTATTCTTTGTACGTGTCAATATGTCAACGATGTTATTTTAGAGAAATTTGATAATATCTTAAATATTTTATATTTCAAGAAGAGGTTCTAGATACGTATCATGTATTTTAATTTTATTATTTTTTATATAAATCGGATTTGGACTAATTTTATTGTTTTTTATATAAATCGATTAGCTTTTTCAAACTTTTCATTATCATAGACTTGGATATATACATAATCTCTTCATAATTGTTCATGTATACTTTTCTTATATATTCTTTGATACTTTTTCCTTTGGGTAATTCAGTGGGAAAACAGACGCAACCTATTTTTCCAAATAGGTTAAGAATTAGCTTTTTGAAGGTGTTAGTGGGGTGGTGTTAATGGTGGGAATGAAAACCACTACGTAGTGACTATAGTATAGGGTGCTACCACCACAACCTTAACCCTTTTCTAATATACATAATATATATTTTTATTAATAATTTTAATATATAAAAAAATAAAACTAAAATTCAAGACCCTCAAATAAATGGGATATGAGTATAAAATATGAAGTATTCTAAATATTTTTAAATTCTGCAAAATCCAATTTTTTAAAAGGATGCAGTTAGCATGCGCCCAAGCCTGCACATGTAAAAATGAAGGCTTGGCAATAAATATATTTTTTAAATATAATTTGAGTATAATTTTTAGAAAATATATAGTATTTAACATGGAGATTATGAACATGAAAAAAATAAAAAATAATAAATAATTGAAAACGATAAATAATTATTATATTAAGAAAACATTTTGACCATTAGTTACAATTGTTTTTAGATAGACCATCTATTTACATCCATCTTTAAGATGGATGCTTTATATCTTTGGACCGCATATTGTAGAAATATGATCTAACCTGCATGAAACAATAATTGTTTTTAAATTTATATTATAGATTATCTAATGTTACCTAAAATCTAATCTCTTGCTTCTTTTTTTGTGAAAGTGTGACGTATAGTAGAAAGAAAGCTTTCTATATGATCCCACCTACGTATAAATTATATATGATTTAACTTCTCAGTTGTTTGATCAGAATAGATGGCTAGGATTGTTCATCTCACTATGTCACACCAAATATTGTTTGCTTTTAAATTTTTTTGTACAATTATTTTGAGGAAAAATCTTGGCTTCCCATCTTCTTATTGGGGTTGACCTATAAAAAAAAAAAAAGTTCCTCAATATTGCAAGAGTATTCTGGCAATTTGCCATCATAGGAAATATATTTTTATTTTTCATTATTTTTATCATGTGTCCCTATCAGATGTATGCATGCCCAAAGTTTACCGCAAAATTATTTATAAAATAAAAATTACAAATAAAACACTATAAATTGTTAGATCAAGATCTAATGCTCAAAAGCCAACTTGTGATATTGTGACTCAAGCCATCCTATTAGATCTGCCGATTGAGACTAAGGGTCATCACATACTTTATTTATGGGTGGGTTACCTGTAAAGCCTACCCTATTTATATACACACAGCGTATAATATATGGTCTATACATTGGTCATGGACCTCATCTCACATCAATGGAGATGAGCCATCGTTATGCTCAATAACTTATCCCAATCGTCTGTTGATGACGATGAATGGTCGATGACCAGGAGCACACATCATACATGCAATGTGTATGAGAGATGAGACTTATGTATTAAATGTGGCTTTCCAATGATTTAGGACTCGAAACACATCCCAAATGCAGATCCCATTTCTCTCTTGGATCCACAAATTTGGAGCCCCAAAAAACAATGCAAATCGGACACTCCGAAGAATTTAAATAAGTTGTCAAAAACAAATACAGCTATGCGATTTTTAAGGCTCAAAATTCTTTTTTTTGTTTTTTCCTCTAAATTCATGATAGTGATGGCCAAAAGACAAACCCACAAATTTTTTTATCCAAACTGGATGTCAAGAGGCTAGACTCACTATAGCAAGCACGTCCCAAGGTGTGCCTGAGCCCCACCACTTGGATGAACGGTTGGGATGAAAGGTGAACCTGTCCAAGCCAAAATCAGCCTGACCCGAATGATTTTTTCCCATTTTGAATCACCCAAATTTATAAAATAACCATTAAAATATGCGTGTGAGCTTACATTTGACCTGATTTATCTTGTTAGCTAAGAATTGGAAGACATCGTTTTCCTTGGAGAGATGAGTGGCTGAATTTTTTTAGTCTATGAAATTTGGTCAAAATTTTGCCAATATTCAACCTAAATTTATACACATTTATGAGTTGTTCCTAAACTTTGAACATTGACAATTGTAAGTCGACTTTCGCAAATGAAAGTGACCATTATCAAGAATTAATTGAGAATATATCTTGCCAAAAAAACATACAATGAGACCATTTACTCTTTATACAATGAGGTCATGATCACCTATCGTTGTCTCATTGACCAATGTTAAAGTTCAACAGAAAATTCCTCAAGATTTTATAGAAACAAGCATCCATTTTACTCATCAAAATTTATTAGTTTCTATATGAATCTTCTAACATACAAGAACCTTTGGCTAGAAAACTATAAGCAACAAAATTTCTCCAAAAAAAAAAGGGATAATAGTTTGTTCACTCAAGGCGGAAGGGCAGACACTTACATTGGTCTATCCTTCTCCATTTAGTTGGTCTCAGCATATTTGTTTCACCCCAAATTTTGCATACACATTTTTTTTGGACCCAAACCTGAACCTGGTCGGGTCGACCCGACCCAATTCCCACCCCTACTTTGATATTCCCAAAATTTTGAATAAAATGCTTTTGATTTTGGAATTGATTGAAATAAACTGAAGTCAAACTCAAAATTAGGGAAAATCAGAAGTATCCTTAAAAGAGAGCTTTTATATTCCTTTCATTGTTTTGGAAAATGACAAAGTTGCCGTGGATTTTAAAGTTAGCGTCTGCAAGTGGACTGGAAAGCAACAATATTGCTTTTCTTAGTTTTGTGTGATAAAAAGATTCTTTTCCAACTATCTTTTTTATTTTATTTGTTTTTGTATAGGTTTTTGAGAGGTGGGCTTAAAAACTATGAATATGAGGATTTATAAACACATTATTTTACTATGCCTAATTATGATAATGGAGTTTCTAATTTTACGATTGAGAAGATAGATGTGTCATTTGTTACACACTACACATATATGTAGGTATTTATATATGGGATTGTATACTGTGAGTCCATTTATTTTTTATACAATAAGGTCGCGACTTTTCTTACCCATTGGATGTGAAATCTAATATATTAGAATGTATCATGGTTTTTGAGAAATTTAGTTTCGGACTTTGTGCTCAATTGGTGACACGTCACCACCTGTTTGATTTCACATCCAATGATTGTAACATTCTCATATCTAAAGTAAATAGTATCATCATATACATTTCCTTTATATCTACGTGCGACGTAGGTATGGTAAAAGATTATATGCACCCATGAGCTAACTTTTACTTGGGCATGTAGTGTAAGAAGAATATATGTGGGAATCATTTGAACCTAAATTTTGCATATATGCTCTCTTGAACATACAATCTTAAAATAAATAAATAAATAAAAATTAGAAATAGATTTTGTTAGAAGAGAAAAATCTGGTGAACATCAATCGTCCATTTTGAATCTAAATATTTAACTACTCAATCTTTTTTAAAAAAAATTGATAATATAGTAATGATGAGAACAAGTAAAAAATATAGGTTGGACAATTCCCTATGGAGGTTTTGATCTAACACAAATTTTTTCTTTCTTAAAATGTGCATGTATCCACTATATTTTCCCTCTTTTTGAAAAACTAATTTTTCGAATATTTTTCCAACTATTTGAGATTAGCTACATGAATTATAGTTTTTCATTATACTCTATCAAAGGTCATACCCTCAGTGAGGTTGGGCTTGGATTTTATTACAAGCTTGTTTATTGGGATGAATGTGCCATGTTCAAGACTTGAGTGAAACAAATCCTACTAAATAGTTTTTTTTAGGAGCTTTTGTCCAAATTAACTAAATTCTAGATGTAATTTTCACACACACAGACGCACATTGGGCGACACTTACGAGCACCTCCAGCCGAATTATTACCATACTTCTATCATCGACTCCCAATCGTCCAATCAAATTCTGATAGTTGGAATTATTTGATAGTCTTTGAATTTTAGTCTCATTTTTTCTTATGAATCATAATCATCTAAAATATAGAGGTATGTACATCTCACTTATGTACCTGTAGAAATATAGAACAAATTTCTCACATAAAATAAAATGATGAAAATGCCCTTATAATTTTTTTGGGTTATTTTGATATTATTTTTATTTTAACCTGGTATTTTTTATTTTACCCTGGTATTTTTTATTTTATGTAAACATATGAGAACAAAAAAAGTTCACATATATTAATATGAACTTCTTTTTCATGGAGATTGTTAGGTTGTAATTTAGCTTTTAGCATGAAATGAGAGGTGTTGTAGGCCCTTCCCATACAAACGAATTCTTGTCTGTGTCGATCATTTTTGAAAGTTGACCTAGGTTCTTCCACAGGGTCTAACGTGGACAAAAACCAAAGGTCCTCTCACCCTCAAATTTTGATCACATCAAGCACTTGGTTGGTTTTGTTAGAGAGAGAGAGAGTTTTGTTAGAGAGATGTTAGATAGTTTTGTTAGAGAGATGTTAGAGAGAGATTGGTTTTGTTAGAGAGAGATGGCTTTGTTAGAGAGAGATTGGTTTTGTTAGAGAGAGATGGCTTTGTTAGAGAGAGATTGGTTTTGTTAGAGAGAGAGAGTTTTGTTAGAGAGATGTTAGATAGTTTTGTTAGAGAGAGCTTAGAGAGATGATTTTGTTAGAGAGATTTGGTTTTGTTAGACAGAGATCTTAGAGAGAGATTGGTTTTGTTAGAGAGAGATGTTAGAGAGAAGGTTTTGTTAGTTTATATAAGGTTGCAACCTGTAGAAATAAGGATTTCTTTTTGAGTGAAAAAAAGTGAATAAGAGAACAATTACAGAAAAAATATATATATTGTGCGTGAGGGGACGTACTTGTAACTTTGTGTCCCATGATGCATCAAGCGTCCATCTTAAAGATGGATGCATAAAAATGGTGTTGTCATGGATGACTAAAATAGATGGTCAAGAATTATTCTCCAAAAAAATGTTTTTTTTAGTTTATTTTATTTTATTTACATATTAATGATTCTTATGTTAGAGATTATATATACCTAAAATATTTGATTCAAAATCTTCTAAAAAATGGAGAATGGAGCTAGGGCGTATATCTACACGTGAGTCGGCCAACTTATATAAACTTTGTCTTTGTAGAAATAATGTTGTAATAATCTACACTGACTATTTTATTTTCATGATCTACATTACATATCATCTTAAAATATAACAAATATGTTAATACTATCTTAAAAAATATGTAAAATTTATAACATTTAAATAAAGTAGATGTAGGGGGTGGCAATGGATCTGCACCCAACCCGACAACCGCACCCGACCCGACCCGACCCCAATCCGGGGTATGGGTTCAAAAATTGCACCTAGCAGGTCGGGTCCATGTCCAAGTATTGGACCCAAACACCATTTGGGTCCAGGTCCACATGGAACCAACCCGAATAGTATTTTTATTTAAATATTATATAATATATAATATTTAAATACATATAACTGTATATTCTTTGAATTTTAAGAAAAAAAGATTACATCATAACCTAAAAGGCTAGGAATAAAAGATTCTCCTTTAGCCAAGGCATCCGCAATAGCGTTAGCCTCCTTGTACACATGAAGAACTATATATTTTTTATTTTAATATTTAAATAATACATCTATATATTTAATATAATATTAATTTTTTTTTTAATATTTAAATAATACATATATATATTTAATATAATATTAATTTTTTTTTTATATTATTTTTGGATTGTGTCCAATCGACATATGTCGGGTCTAAGTCCAATAGCTTCTGGTCCAATTTTGGATCTCATAATTTTTTTTCGAATCCACCCTAGCCATTGCCACCCCTAAATAGATGGTGTAGAGCATCACAACCTCTATTCTATAAGTAAGGTTGTAACCTCATGCAAACAATCCCATAGATAGGTATCTACTAAAAAGGATTATTTAGGTTGTAACCTCATGCAAACCATCCCATAGATAGGTATCTACTAAAAAGAATTATTTTGTCAATGTGTTGTAAGTACTTTAATATTGTCGAAGTTAGGTACTTTTATCATTGTTTATAAGATTATAAACACATAAAATGAGGCCAACTTTCAACATGCAAATATAGACCATGCATGTAAAGACATACTATACCTAATAATTAATGTCATCACACTACAATCATTTCTTTGTTTAGCTTTCCTCAATGGCAACGTGGCTCACAATAGGGTTTAATACATGGGACACGTAACACGTGCGCTACCCACGTATAAAACATATTTCACTAGTATTCCTAAAAAAGAAATATACAAAGAGACCATTTAATTTTAAGGTCCGTTTGGATACCAAGAAATATATTGTCAGTCAAATATATTATTGACGTAATACATTACTGATAAATGGATTGTTACTGTTTGAGTAGTATTTAGATACAATATGGAAAATACATTGTTATTATTTGGCTATGTCTGGAAGAAATATAGGAAATGCATTACCAATATTTTACCAGCACGTGCCTATAAACTATCATTTATTTCTTTTTTGTTTTAAATTCTACTAAAATGCAGAATTATCATTTCTTTCTTTTTTGTCACAAAATTTTACTAAAATACGAAATTAAAATCATCATCACATCATCCTAAAAAGATTTTCTAATAATAACTTGTACTATTTTACAGTCATCATGACACTTTCCTACTTATTTTATGTCTTTGGCACTTACATGGAATCACATGTTTTCTAACATTGGTTTCAACATGATAAGTCATTGAAACTGTATGATTGAAATAACATGATTTTATTATGGTAAGCCTTAATTTTATTTATTTTTTATAAAAGTCTTTCAAATGTCTCTTTATGAATGTATGAATGTATCTATGACCTTTGTCCTTATTTATGCCAATGGTTCCTTCTACTGCTATGTTCCAATTGTGTTCGTCATTTAATACTTTTTTAAAATAAACTCTTCACCTTTCCATTACTCCTTTATCCTTCACCAAGACCCTTTGATCCTCATTCTGCATTTAATATGGTCTAGATTCTTACACTTTTTCTCTCTCATTTTTGCTAATTTGAATACATCTTTTCACATAGATTCTCATAGTCCTTAAGTTTAGTTTTACTTATTATATGTTTATCGTTTTTTAGTATTTTATATTCTTCTCAATTTTGATTATTTCTATTACATTGTCAAGTTTTATATTCTTTTAAGTTTTGGCTATTTCTATTCCATTGCCAAGTTTTTTAACATGACCGTTAACTTTATTTCATCTACATGACATTAATCCACACATTCCACTTTCTTAAACAATCCCAATTGAAGTTATTCATCTTTGTTTATACAGATATACATGTTTAGATCACTTACCAGAAGCCAAGTTTTTCCATTAGATTTCACTCATTTATTTATGTTGATCTCCATATTGATATATTTTAAAATGATCAAACTTTTGATATTAAATTATCAATCAACACGCTTAGTAAGGAACTGGAACTCTGACATTTGGTGGACCGGATTTCATGTCCTCTAACAATAGGTCAAGAAGAGCTTGGGCCACAGGGCCTTCCTTACCTGCATAAATTACAAGCAAAATAGAATATAAATACCTTAATAAAAACATTAACACCACCAGATAATTACTTTAAAAATAGATTTAATCAACAGATAATTATTTAAAAAGTAGATTTTTTAAGTTCTTAATCAATTGGATCTGACCTTCCAAAAATTTGACTTCTGTCAAACACATAGTGCATTTATTTTTTTTTCTCTTTCGAGGTTAGTCAACTAGGTTGAAGCGGCTGTATCCTCAAATTTTGAGGTCCTAAAAGTACGCCTAGATTGGGTTTTACTTGAAGGAGTGAATGGAGGAAATGCTGCCATAGGAGCATAGAAACTTTTTACTATGATGACGCGGCAGAACCTGATGGGGGCCCATTTCCAATCTGGACTTGTAAGAGTAGGGTACTTGTTGGCCCAGCCCGGACCTGGTGGATGATGATGATAATATAGGACCTACCAGAACAAGACATGATTGTATCTGGTTCCAATCTATTCCTATCTATCACAATCCATCAATTATTAAAACATGATAGACCCAATCGAATCGGGCTTTCTAAAATCATATATTTCAAATATTCGATAGTTTAACCTTGGAAAACATAGCACATATCATGGGTGCATATTTTATCCAGACAAAGATATGCTCCCATAATTACATTTATTTCCTTGGGTAAAACCTTAGGGACATTTTAGGATACCAAATTTGGAGTTGTAACCTCTTCAGCCTAGAGACCAACCTAAGAAAAAGATACACACTCTTTATCTGCCTGAAAAAAATAATGTCCAGACCCTTCTTTTGCGATTCTAGAGTGGATCCCAAAATTACTCATTTTGTGATTCCAGAGTGGATCCCAAAATTTCTTATCAAGAAATTACTCATTTTGTGATTCTAGATTGGATCCCAAAATTTCATATCAAGAAAATCCTTCTAAATAGATCTTTTTTTCAAGGGACTAACGTGCTCTTTATCCAAATTTAATCACATCATCCCTAAGCTGATACCTCTATATACTTAACTTATAGAACAAATGACCCGGAAGGCATGAAGAAATTGCTGAAATTCCCTAGTATGCCATATAGCATGTTACCGAAACCATTTTCCGAAAATTTAATGGCTGAAAAACCTGAAATTCTGGAATATGTATCACTAAAGGCCAGTAGAAAATATGAAATAACCAAAATGTCAAAAAAGCTTAAGTGGTTATGCTTACCATCTCCTATAACTTGGTCATCCCAATGTGTAACAGAGGATATAGGAAGCCCACTCCCAATAAGCATCATCTCTGCAGCTTTCTTCCCTTCTTCCACTGTTATATTCCCCACTCTGATCCCTTGTAGAGTCCCTTCTCTCACTAAACTCTCAGCAAGAACCAACACTCTCTTTGCAGTACACCCACCAAGTATCTTCTCAAAAGAAGGCATAATAAGTTCTTTCCCTTCTGTAACAAAAGCCACATTCATGTTTGGACCTTCAGCTACAAATCCTTCATTGTCCAGCCAAATAGCAACAAACCCACCTCTCTCTTCAGCCTCCATCTTTGAAAGAACATTTGGAAGATAATTCACACTCTTCATGACTGCAAATTGTGGAGATTTTATAGGAATTGAGGACGTAAAGACCTTAACACCACTTCTATCAGGTGGATTCAGGTATTGGATCACTATGGCATAGAGAGAAGGTTTCATGTAGTTAGAGGGAGTGAGAAAAAAGTCTCCAGGGCCTGAAGAGAGCCAATATCGAAGCGATCCTTGCCTGCATTTAGAGGTGCTTACGGTTTGTATAAGGATGTTTCGAATGGTGGAGCCATCAAATGGAGGCTCAATCTTTGCCATGGATGCTGATTTTAAGAAACGGTCAATGTGTTGGTCTAGTTCGTATACGTACCTAATGATTGGCATGAAGGGAAATTTGTTAAGAGAGAGAGAAAGATAGAGAGAGAGATAAAGAGGTTTTATCAGTAAATAGAGATTAAGACTTGTTTCTTCTTAATTAGACAAGGTACAATAGATGAACAAAACAGCAAGTTCGTGGTCGACCTTCTCTCTCTCTCTCTCTCTCTCTCACACACACACACACACACACACACACATACATGTCTCTCTCTCTCTCTCTCTCTCTCACACACACACACACACACATACATGATCATGAATTAATCATATAGTTGACATTTTCGTCATATGGTAAGGGCAATAAAAACTTCTACTGTAGGAAAATGGTCATTAATAAGAAACAAAGCCATTTATCAAGTGATGTTTATGAGGCCATGTCCTTATAGAGGGGGAAAAAATTATGTAGTCTGAAGGAAAACATTCATTAGGTCAATGTCCTTTTGCATGTAGTTTTATTGTATCCCTGCTAATGACCAACCCACCCGTGTGACATAAACAACTCCAGGTAGTTTTAGTTATTTGAGAGATTAACCATAAAAGAGAATGAACATTCAAGAAGAAAACCATAAGAAATTCCTAAACCTTAAGATATAGAATCTTAAGAGGTATAGAGATCAGATCAGCCCATAAATAAAAAGCTCAAAATTGATGACCCTGCTCAAAACGACTGAGAATGGCCCAATCCCTTGGTAGACCTTTTTTTTTTTTTGGGGCTGCAGTTTTGGTCATTTATAAGAAGCATGAATTGATGACAACTTATGCTAAGGGGAACAACTATTTCATCAGATGATTCCATGAGAGTATATGGGCTTGGTGGAAATCGATGTAAATGACATGGGTGCTACCAAAGAAGCAAATCTCTTACCCATTAACTATAGCTGCGGTGTCAAAAACACCATGTCCTCTATGGACCATGTGATCATCCATAGGAATCACCATCATAGAGGGATCAACTGTTATACCCCCAAAAACGCTGGAGTACATAGCCAAGAAGTTCTGCTTGCTGTTTCTGCATTTCTGGTTCTCCCTAAGCACTTCCATAACCTTTGAATCAATCAAGCTTATGCAATTAGGAGCATTACAAGAAAGAAAAAGGAACTCCAAACTATTTGGACAGAGAACCAAGTAAATAACTAAAAAGTGAAGAGATGGAAGGCATTTAGCTAAATGTAATATATACAGGCAAGTCTCAAGTTGCATAATTTGAAGAAATGCAAGTAATGACATGTATATACACATTAGGTAAGTTTATGCATCTACTTACAAGTGCATAGACAAAAAATAGGAGGATCGAGAACATTTACATACACTTGATCCAAACCAAAATCTCTCAGCACAATCATGATACAGTAAAGGGTAAAATAAACCAAACCAAACTTGTATAATACCTTCTCATGCTTCCTCTCTGCCCTGCTTTTTAAGGCTTAGCCCAGAAAACATCACTTTAGAGGTCATTAGGTGTCAGTATGCCCATCAAAGGTAAGAGCTCAATGTCTCCTAAAAATCCCCACTAACTGGCTTCATGAGATGATTAATGTTAGCCCTAACTATTCCATGAAAGTAATATCCTTCTCCTTGTTTCTTGCTTTGAGTCCTTAATTTCGCTCATTTTTCTCATGCCTTATAACATCTCTAGTTGAATATGATTTTTATACTTGTTCTGTGTATTATGCTTCCTCCCTTTATTGAGAAGAACGACTTGTCTATGTCTCATAGCTGCCTTATGTTAGTACACATGCTACTAATAAAATTCAAAAGATCCATAACTGGCTAAGTAGGGGTGGCAACGGACCCAGACACAACCCAGGAGCCAACGATCGAACCTCACCCAGGTTCGGGTATGGGTCCAAAAATTGGACCCAGCGGGTCGAATCTGGGTCCAAATATTGGACCCCAAACAATATTCGGGTCCCAGGTTCCAGTCCATGTGGACCCAACTTAGACCTTACCAGAATAGTGTTATTATTTAAATAATATTTAATATATAATATTTAATGATATTTTAATAAATATAACTATATATTTTTACTTATAATATTTAAATAATACAGATATATCTTTAACATAATATTTATATATTTTTTTTATTTTTGGGTCCGGGTGCGGCCGACTTGTTGCCACCCCTATGGATAAGATGAATAATAGAATAATGCTTAGGAAGTTAGGATAGGCATTTATCAGTGATCCTAATTTTACAGGAGTGTTTTTGATAGATCATACACCAAATGAAAATTGATTTCAAATGTCAATGTGTAGAGGTTCCTAGAATGTCAATGGGAAGCCACTATTATAAAAAACAAAATCATATTGTTACAATTATTTGATGTTGAAAGAGATCTGTCCCAATGGAGCACACTTAGAATGGCATATGCATGCTTTTGAGAAATCAATTAATCTTCATGGTGCAGTAAGAAGCAATCGCAACACATATCTTCAGCAAAGTATAATATACCATTGCGACAGTAGCGAGGTTTTCTTGTTTCCGGTATGTCATTGAGGAGTCCCATTAGCCTAAACCGCACCCATAAAACCCCTCTACCTGGTGCTCTTTCCCTCCAAATCTGAGAATGGTGAGAAAATTTTGTTTCATCACAAACAAAAGGTTATAGCTGGTAAAAAATTCAGTATCATATGGCATTTATATATAGATTTTTTAATATCTGTCTGTGACTCAGGCACTTTTTTTTAAAAAATACTTTTTGGTTGGAGGGACATCCTTATTTGTTTGTACTCTCACAATCAGGCAGATATGTTTACAAAATCAATTAAATTATTTACAAAAAACTGTCGTCTAAGAAAAACACTTCTAATGAAGGAGGTGCCCAATCCTTGGTGTTATCGGAACTCAGAAATTCCTAGGCAACGTTTATGGAACAGGGAAACCGGAGTGATAGCAGGAAAAGATGCAAATTTTTATAGGGAATCACCGAGGGCTTTCTAAGGAAGCAAGTATTTGGTTTGGGGAATGTTATCAGCTTACAAAGTTCTTGCAACTAAGACTAATCAACTCCAGTTGGAGGTTCCCTCAAAGGATATCTGTTTTGGTTTTTGACTGATCTAGCTTCGTATTGGTTCTTTCTTAAAGTTAGAGTGTTAAACCTTTTGCACCTTACATCAACACCAGACACCAGTTATTCCCTAAACCCTTTGCTCATAATGTCCTTTGTCTAAATAGGCAAAGGATAACTGTATCTTTCTAAACAATCACTTGATCCTCAACCATGTATACGAACTTCTTCACTCCAAAATAAGCAGTGGTCAAGAACGAAACACAAGAAACATGGTGTTACCAAACCGCCACCAGTAAAAGGGAAAATGCATTATATAAGCTATACTAGAATCCAGTGCTCCATGGAAAACAGTAGTTGATTTGGACCGTGATGGAGGATCACACCTGCCACTGGGAAAGTATTCTAGTATGGTGGGTCCTTCTTCATCTCAAGCAGCCCATGATCTATTAGATTATCTTACACTTTCCATTGGTAAGATCTCTATGCAATACAAACACCTGACATGCCCACTATTACCTGGGCCTTCAATCTATTCATACTTCTAGTGTCCCTGTGCCATTATAACTCAAGCCTTTGGGAAGAAAACAGACAATTGGTGTTCATCTAAAACAAATACACAGTAAGATCGCTATTCATTGTAGCTTTAAAGCCAGATCACTCTAGCTCCAAGTTATATGTGGACTTGACGTTCTATAGGCAACGCTTCCACTGCCCAAGCTTGTGAAAGCTCATTGTCCTTCACAAAAGACTACTTAGTATGGACTATTAGCTGTATAAAACCATCCTGTAAATATTAAGATCAAAGACCTTGGGTTACACTTTAAGACCAGAAATTTGCGTTGTATTGTCACTCTCCTGATAAATAGAAATGTTGCATATTTCTGTGTATCATCAGAGGGACAAGCTTGACAAAATGGCATCTATTTCCATATACATGGCAAGTAAAATTAGGTATTAGCTCAAATAGAGAGCAAGGTTTTAATTCAATAAGCTGCTAAACCCACATAAATCTTCCAAACAACACAGATTGAAACATAAATACGTCAAATTAGAGGAACTTTCTTCAAATTATATCAAAATCCAAAAGCAACCATTAAAAGAACACATGAATCAGAAGAGATGAACTGTTCTCAAACACTAAACCATGTAGATCAAATAAAATAGGATTCAAAAGTCAAAACTATGTACATACAGGTAGATATTTGAATTACTAACATACTCACTCTATCCCAGAATTAAACATCCATGTTATAACCCATTCCATAGAAGATCAGTATAACTAATTTCGTAACGAAGAATTAGCAGTATCCTACAGTGAGCAAGAAAAAAACCTGGAGATCAGATAGAAGAGGAACATTGAATATTGGGGGATTCTGATTCTCATTTTCTGCAATGGAGATTGCAAGTTATTCAAGAACAATAAAAATAAAAAACCAAAAATTAAGAATCATTCACGAGCAAGCCAAGAGATGGAAATACTCCATACCCAATCCACGAAAAGAGAAAAAATTGAACACCCAAAGCAAGAGAGAAAATATTCCATACCCAAAAGACACAACAAGCATGAGCACATAAATGATTCAGGAATAATCAATTACAAAAACCAACAAATGAAAAACCTTGAAACCAAATCAAAAGAGAGAAAAGACTCCATACCCAATTAAAGGCACAGAAAATAGAGAGAAATTTTATCACAAATCAGCTCAGAATTGATCCGAGGCAAAAGGAACCATGTGAAACTCACCTGCTACTGCTTCTGTTAAATCTGCAGTCCCTGTAACCTGGTTCAAAATTATATTTTTTGATCTTGGTGGTCGGAAAAAAGAACCACAAATTTTGAATTTTCGGCCTCCAAAAGTTGAAACTGATACAAATATGGGATTTTTAGACACTACTGAGAACTGGGGTGATGCGCTTGGATTGATTGATAAGTGAGAAACTTGAGTGGTTGCCATTTGCTGTTGCAGGAAAGGAAATAAACCTATGGAAGGCACTGAGAAACTTATATTATATGCTTACTTTTTAGTTATTTTTCATTGTTTATTTTCCCGTTGAGTGTAGCTCTCTCTGTCATGTTAGCAGAAATTACTCGAAGGAAGCAGTTCGGCCGATTCGATTCGAGAGAAGGCCTCCACTATTTTTTTAAATTGTATGCTCATTTTTTACGCTTTTACGGAATGTATTGTATTTTAACATTAATATTTTCTCATGAAGCTCATATTTTTAATATTTGTTTTCCGAATGTTATGCACATGAAAATATAAATTATTGATTTAAAATTAATAAATAAAATAACCACAATGATTAGAAAATCCAAAAATTATTCAAATATTTTAGTCATATTCTCCAAAAATTATTCAAATATTTTAGTCATATTCTTTGTATTTAGATAATGGGGTGTGGTTTTTATGAGGCCAAGGTCCTAAAGAATCAAAGTGAGGCACACCTTAGTGACAAAAAGATATTATAATCTTTCCGACCTGAAATTTTATTTTATCCCTAATAAAAAATTTGAGCTTAAAAAATAATGTAAATCGAGCAAATTTATGAACATTTGATAATCTTGAACATTAACGTTCGAAAAAATGCATTACAAGAGACACTATTTTCAAGATTTGAAATTGATTTTTTCTCATGTTCGTGTATCTTGAGGTCGAGATGATCGATTTGAGGATATTTGAGCATCGAAACAATCTCTTCTAGTGAATTTTTTAGGTGTAACTTGATTTGTTTATTTAGAGACCCGACCTTTATATAATTTTTTCTTAATTATTTATTATTATTTTTTTACAAATGCATAATGGTGGAAAGTAAGTATACACAAAATTTGAACTCGATCCAACTTTTTTTTATTCTCATCCATTGATTTGTATGGACAGCTAGGATAACAACAGTCAATATTAATTTTTTTCTTTTGATAGGTGCCCCCACATAAAGTGACGGCATATCCCAAATTCACTCAAAATTAATTTGTAAACAAAATTAAAAACAAAAACTGGACATTATGATTGAAGCTATTCCAAATCTCTTTATCTCTTGTGGAGAGTGAAAGACTCCAAAAAGCTTTTTCTTTGGAAGGTGTCGGAGGAATCTGGGATTGTGGGGCCATAAAAACATGTGTCTATGTGTAAAGGTGTTAGGGTCGGGTTCGGGTGGATATTTGATTGGGTCCTAGTGGGACCCAGACCTAGAATGTACCCTTCCAAGTTTAGCTTTACTCCCTTTAAATGGAAATTTATCAAATTTCCTCTACATTTTCAATGTTTTAACAATTTATCTCTTTTGAACTACTTCAAATCATGGTCACATTTATTTTGATGGGTGCTTTAAAATGAAACTCAAAAATATAGATAAAATTTTAAATAGTTGGTTGCATGTATTTTGAAGGGTCTTTTTAAATTAAATTAAAAGATATGGATACGATTTTAAATAGTTGATCTCTAAATAAAGGAAAAAGTTAATTTAAAGCATCGTCTTTATACTATAGAAGTAAGGTGCACATAAAAAACTCATTTTAAAAAAATTGCTTGACACTGGAAAGCCGTCTAATTGATCATCTTGACCTCGAGTTATATGGATATGAAAAAAATGGCTTTCAAGTCTTAAAAATCTGCATTTTATAACATATTATTTGGATTGCCCATTTTCAAATTTTTCAAATGCTTATGTATCTACTTCATCTCTACTATTATTGGAACTTTAGATTTTATTCTTGATGGTGGAAATAGGTTTTCCGGCCATTATAATAGTTTTTTGGCATTGAAACTGCATCTATCAATAAATTTTGAGTGTGTACTTTACGTTGATTATTTAAGGTTAACCCCTCATGTAAACCGCGCCTTTTGATGAACTTTCCCTTTTTAAATGGAAGTTTACCTTGGGGTGGCAATGCGCAGGACCAGTTCTAGCCCTAACCCGACCCTAGTCCCTATAGGGTTGTCATGAGCCCTGCCCGACCGAAACACTATCGAAGAGGCCTTGGCTCGAACCTGGACATGGCCTTATTAGAGTCAGCAAGATAAAATAATAAGGGAAGAAAAAGGGCCTAACTAGGCCAAATCACAGTGGCCTTGTCGTAGACTTGGCCTAAGCTCGGCCTGGCCCATCCCTATCCTTGGGCCGTGGTGGTCCAACCAAACTGGCCAGGCTCTTGGCCACATTTTGTGGCCTAGGCTCTAGGTTTTTAGGATTGCGCTAGGCCGACAGGCCCACTGCCAACCCTATCTGCCCCTAACCTTATATTTGCAAACAGAAAAATATAGGGAAAACTTGTCTGCATTCATATGAAATTTAGATTTATAATGTTGCACCATCTAAAAAACCATTGCTAAAGGGGGTAACATGTTGAGAAAAGGCCCTAGATCACGATCCTCGAGAAAATATTTGATTTAGAGCTTCATAAAATATTCAAGTATTGTATATACGCTGCAAATTAGAAAATGGACAACTCATATCTATAGTTGGAGAATGTATGGAGTGTCAACTTTAGTTTGTTTGCTTTATTTCATAGGAGTGTATACAATGAGACCATTTACCTTTGGTATAAAGATGTCACAATTGCTTACAACTATCTGTCGTGAAATATGATGGTTGTGTCACAAAGTTCAATCAAATTTATTTTGAACTTTGAGCTTGGTCATTGAAATAAATGCAGCCACTCAATTTCACAACCAATGATCAAGATTAATTGTGACCTCCTTATTCTAAAGGTAACATACTTTCACTTTTTTTATTTAGGAGTTTGTTCTTGGATGAGCTACTTTAACTAATATTTGATTTCAATTATTCCATTACCCATTCAAATGCAGGAGGCATGCTTGGTAAATGTGGCAATATGTTTTGAGCTTTTTTGTGAGCTCTATCGTGTAACAATAGATTTGGAGCATTTTTGTTGAGATCTTCTTTTATTTTTTTGGAAAATGGTTGGATGGGGATGCAAATCTATCAAAATAAGTAAAGACTCACCTCAAAACTCAAAAAAATTTGACAGTTTTGGTGTTGAAAAACCTTCAAATCGATCATCTCGGCTTTGACCATTATGGTTATGAAAAAGATTTAAGATTTCAAGTCCTAAAAATAATATATATTAATTATCCAGACCATCCATTTCACCTTGAAAATAAGTATTCACATATCCGCAAGATCTGTCATATTTTTCGAGATTCAAGATTTATAGTCAGTGTTAGAAATTGATTTTAGAGCCATTATAGAGATTTTTTGATGAAAATTTGACGTGAGGCTTTACTTTGTTTTCATGAAGACTATGTTGGATTTATGTGGCCTTTAAAGGCTTTATGAGTGTGTATTAAAATAATTTTATTATAGTGAAACATAAACCAAGTGGGAGTGTGGTCCCTAGAGGACCATACTAAGCGAATGGTGTTTTCTTATACCGGACTGTGCTTATCGATCTAAGCTAGTCGGTTGGAAAACCTAAGGTACCTGGGCATAAAGAATTAACCAATGAGGGTTTTGGGTTGGCCCTTGATGAGTTCGGAGCTTATGCCTAGATGAAAGAGCCGAAGGACTCTGTGACCCTTGTGTGTGATGGTATGCCTATTGAGACGGGGGCCAAAACCTCATCCATATTCCATCACATGACATGCATATTGATAGATCGTTCGGGAAAGCCAGATATCTACCTTTGGGTGAAGCGTATGCATATGCGAGAGATACCCCTATGCACCATAGAGATGTGGTCGCATCAGGTCGTGGTGACCTTGACTCGTCTCTAGTACACAGTTGGAGGTGGAGTACCCCATATTTACAAGTTGAATTCCTCTTCTTTTTTTGTGATCAAG